GGAAATCACCCTCTCTCATTTGCATTTCCATTTCTCTCGGGTCTTCCCACCGGCCTCGTCCTCGTCCTCGGAGGATGTGACAGCGTCCTTCTCACTCTGGGACACGTGAGGGACGGCAAAGCCGTTCTTGTTCTCCTCGGGTTTCACCGCGTGTCCCCGGAAACCCGGTGTCGCGTGGAAGGGAAAAGCAGCCGGCCTGTGAACTGCAAGCCGGGCCGGCCCGCCCCTTCACCTGCACCCCCGCCGGCCCATGGACTAAGGGCGGCCGTTGGCCGGTGAGGGCAGCCAGCGTCCCGTCTGGCGGAGTGCCCGCCCTGCTCCGCCGCATCCCGGGCCCCGCGCCCCGTTCTCCGGCCTGCCCGACTCCACAGGGCCCTCTGGACAGACCGGCGGTTTCGTCTTCGTCTGATTCAGGGTCACCCTCCGAGGCCACGTGCCGGCAGGTGAACAGGGAGGCGCCCTCCCCGGTTCCAGCCTCCGGGGACTTGGAGTGTCTCCCGATGGCGAGGAGAGCGGACGGACTGCAACCGGAGGGACACGCTTCTGAGCAGCAGCGAGTCCCCTGCACCCACCCCTGAGGGGCCGACGGGGCGAGACTCCGTCTGGCCCTTGTCCCTCCCCAGTGACCGCATCTGCCTCGGAGCCTCATGGCATACGACGGGCATTTGGAATTGCACGGGTGACCGGCAGGACAGACAGACAAGACAGATGGGGGGCTCCCGGGCTTGGAGGGGGCCGTGGGTGACTCAGTGTGTAAGCAGGAGAGAGGACAGCCATGCTCCACGGGCCAAGGCCAAGGCCTGCCTGGGTGGGCCAGCCCCCAGCACCGCGTCTGGGTGGCGCTTCCCATCATGCATCGGGTGGCACACAGGCCTGCACCCCGGGGGGCCGTCCCGGAGAAGGGCAGAGGTCACGGGCCCACTTGACAGACTAGGAACACCGGGAGAAAAGGTGGCGAGCAGGGTCAAAGGCCCCTTGCTGGCATTGCGGACAGGACACAGGGTCGGGGATGGGGGGCAGAGGGCTGGGCTCGGGGCCGGGCTCCTCGGGCCCAGGCCAGGCCCTCAGCATCCTGGGAGGCCCCCCACCCCACTCCACAGGGCTGCTGAGTGGAATGAACAAGACGTAAAGCATTTACGTCTCGTTTGTTCTGTGGGTGTGGGACTGGCAGAGGTCAGGCAACAGCAGCACGACGCCTGCTGTGCGGATGAGGATGAGGGCGAAGAGGAGGGCCCAGGGTCCGCAGGGCAGGAAGGAAGGAGCGCCCCAGAGGCCCCTGGGAGCCAGGCGGGAGGCTGAGAGGCATTCTGTCGGCCCCAGATGCGGCTGGGCGGTTTGTGTGTGAAGGAAACCTGACCGGCTGCCAGGCCCGCTGGCGGAGGGGCCTCCCGGCCTGGATCCGGCCAGCCCGGGGCCCCCGTGGGGCCCTGCTCCCCGCTCCCTGGAGGAGGGGCTGTGTGTTCAGCAAAAGCCAACACCACACCCCTCGGCCACGGGGAGGGAGCCGGGTGCAGTGCGGGCGGGGCCTGTCACTGCGTGCCCAGGGACAGCCGAACGCCCCCGGGGCTCCTCGGGGTGTGCGGCGCACACCATCCAGGTTGAGAAACAACGATGACCCATAAAAACTCAAAAGCTGCCCCCGAACGGCTTCCAGCTCGCACAGCAAGGCCGGGGGGACACAGGCCTCTGGCTGCCATCTTCGGGTGACTTCTTCCCGGGCCCCACGTTCGGCCCCCCGCAGGCGCAGAGAGGGGGAGCAGCGCTGAGACACTCCCACCACCGCTCTGGCTCTGCCAAGTGCCCCTGCTGCTGGCTCAGCGGGGGTCCCCGCGCCCTCCTGCCGGGGACTTCTGAGAGGCCCGGCAGGCAGCGGCTCTGACCTTGGACCCGTGCAGGGGAACGTGGCCCAGGCCTTGCCCAGCTGGCCCTGCCGGAGCAGCAGCGGGGGAGGGGGGTCACGGCCTGGGCTCGCCCCGCCCCTCCCTCCCTGCAGCGCAGAGGGGAGGCTCGTCTGTCTGATCCACCGCCAGCTCCCCGACACCAGTCAGAACCCCGAACTCCTGCTCTCCAGCGAGAACGCTGATTTGAAAAGCAACGGCCGAGCTCCACGCTGGCAGCCTGAGACGGATCTCCCGGCAGCCGGGCGGAGGGCAGGGCTCTGGATGTGGCCGCGGACGGGTCTTTGTTCCTTTCCTCTTCCCTTTTTTTCGTTTTTTTTTTTTTTTTTGCTGTTATTATGTTTTAACAAACTTTATAGCCCATTTTATTTGTTCTCAAATAAGTTCTTCTCCTTCTTCTCGACACATCAATTACTCGGCCTGTTTCCCTCCCTGTGTGATGCCGGAATCGGGAGATCGATTCGGCTCCGCGGGACGTGATTTAGTGTTACACGCGTGGGTTTATGCGGCAGGAGCCCAGCAAAGCACCGCGTCTGAGCGCCGTCCATTCATTAGCTCCGAGAGGAGATTTACACGTGACACGGAGATAATAACTTTGCTTTCTGATACGCCAAAGAGGTCTGTTTCTGTGTCCAATACGCCGAGCGGCTTACCCTTCCCAATAATTCTGTTTACTAGTGTGAATATATTTTAATAATAAAATTGATATATATGTAAATTTATTTTAATCTCATGTCACTGAACCCTCCTGAAAAAAAAAAAGAGCCTTTCCAGCGGTTTTTGCATCTGAGTTGCAGATTCCGGCATTGTCGTCCCGGACTGACTTCCGGGCGGGAATTCTGTCCGGTGTCCCCCTGGGGGACGAAGCGGGGGGGGGGGGGCAGGTGCCCTGCTTGGCAGCCGGAGCCTCGACCACGCCGGACCGCCACCCCAGCTCGGTGTGGGCCAGCGTTTGAGTAGTTCTGTCTTCCTCAGCCTGTATCTGGACTTGCAGGTTTATGACCAAAATTACTTTCCACGTTAATCACACAAATGTTTAGCCACGAGCCAAGCTGGGAAAACAAAGCCAGCCGAGGGGGGGGCGAGTGCGCGCCCGCTCGGGCATGGGGAGAGGCCAGTGGGCAGGGGGACCGGCGCGAGATGAGGGGTCTGCGCTGGGAACAGGCGTCTTTCTCCCGCGTGTCCTCTGCCCGAGGGTCAAACGAATTAAACTGGCGTCCTTTGCTGAGTGTTCAGACGCTGGTCTTGACTCCGTGGCGAGCAGGGGAGTGTTGACTGGAGGGCCTGCCCTAAATCCAAGCGTCCTGGGCCCTTCTTCCCGGTGCGCTGCGGCCCACACACCGTCGGCCCGGCAGCCCCGCGCCCTGCAGAGGGCGGTGAAGGAGGCCGGTGGCTTCTCCCAGGGGCTCGCGCAGAGGAGCGCCACCCGGGCCCCACGCGGCGGTGCCGCGCCCCGACCTTTCCCAGGTCACCACAGCGGCCACACGACGCCGACGTCCCAGCCTGCGCTACTCGGAGACCAGCAGCAGGCCTGTTCCAAGAGACACACGATGGCAAAATGCCTCCTTACCGGTCTCGGGACTCAGATAGGGACGTCACCAGAAAGGGTCCTGAAGTAACAGAGAGAGAGAGAGAGAGACTCGGACAGACAACGGACACCCTCTGGAAGAAGAATTACTCCAGGAAACTAAAGAACGTTTTAGATAAAGGCTTATCGATGTGCTCAAAATAATGTCGGCAGAGCAGGCTGTATGACGTGAGACGTCAAAGAAAAAAATGGTAAGATAAAAACAGAGGAAAGAAAGCCGACAAAGCTAAGGGAAAGAAACTAAGGGAAACACGGAAGCATTATAAAAATGAAACACGAACTGGAAGCAACAAGAATGAGACGTGGCGGGAAATGGCGTTGTCACGAAGGGCGGGCGGGCGGATGGAGGAGCCGGCGCCGAGGAGGGAGCAGGAGGGGCCGCCCTGGTGGGCGCAGACGGTGAGAACCCGACTCACGGGAGATCCGTCTTCCCGAACAAGGGCGCCCGGCTGGTGAGCCGGAGACGATGTCAACGACGACGCACTAGAAGAAAATCCTCCCGGAGTAACGTAATCGCAAAGGATTCCGACGCTCCAGGGAAAAGTGAGGGGAGAATCCAGACCGAGGCGCGCCCGCCGCCTGGAGAGAAGCCGAGAGGGAGGGAGGGAGGGACGCGCTCAGAGGAAGGTTCCCGGCACCCTGGAGCCGGAGCCGCCAGAGGGCGGGCCGAGTGGGAAGGTGCAGGACGCCGAGCGGGAGAGAAGGGCCCAGGGGCGTCTTCGCTGGGCTGGACGTGCACACACTCAGGGAAGGGAAGGGAAGGACGCCCTCCGCCGTGCGAGGGTTCGGGAAGGTCGGCCTGTGCGTGCCCTTGCCGTTCCCCCAACCGAGCACACGAGACGCCCGCTCCTCGGTGGCCACCTCGGCTTCCTGGGCCACCGCCTCCCCCAGGACACCCCGAGAACCACCCCCCCCACCCCCCCCACCCCGCCCCGAGCGCTCTAGGTTCCGGCCTGCCTCTGCATCTCCCTCTGCCAGACCCCGGGACGGGCCGGCTCCTGGCCAGAGCCAGCGCCGAGGAAAGGGCCTCTGCTGCTCTCGTGGGGGGGGTGGGGGGCGGCCTCCGTTCGTCTCCCAGAATCCCCACGGGTGCCGCGCCCTCCGGGCCACGTCAGTGGAGGGCGAGCAGCGTACCCCACAGCGGGCAGCCCCGTGTCGGGACAGGCGGCTGACCCCTTAGGGGAGGAAGAGCGAGACTCACGCGGCGGACCCACACCAAAGTAAAGTCCGGGGGCGCCCAGGCCTCCAGGGAGGGGGCAACGAGGTCAGAGCAGGGAATGAAAACCCCGTTTGCCCCACGACGATCCCGAGAGGAAGGACGGACTCGTGGGTGGGTGCTGTCGGTGTCCGGGGGAGGGAGCTCCGTCCGGCGAGGCCACGAGGCCAGGACTGGGGCCTCCGCTCCACTCCACTCCCAGTTTTCGGGGCAGACGAACACGGGGTGACACACCCTCCGCCTCAGACGCTCGAGCGCCCGTGCGCAGGAAGCCCCGGGGCGGACGGGGGCCGCTCACCTGTTGGGCTTCTGGCCCAGGTGGTCCAGCAGGTGCGCCTGGTCCAGGTCTCGCGGGAAGCCGTGCAGTACCCACCCCTGCTGGACGCAGTCGTGTTCGTCCAGGCGCTGGCCCAGCACCTTCGCCACGATGCTGTCGGGGACTGCGGAGAAAGGACGCGGTCACTCCGCCTCCCCGGCCCCCACCGGCCCGACGAGGACGGGGGCGGGGGGGGGGGCAGTCCCAGGCTTGTGGGCGTCCTCACTGCACCCGACCACGAACCACACTAGTGAGGAGTTGGTGCGGGCGGACAAGCCCTGGGTCCCCGTTCTTGGGCCCCTCCAGCCATGGTCTCAGTGACAGGAAGAACGTGACTGCCTGAGATGGGTCAAGGGCAACCCTGACCTTGACCTTGTCCTGACCTAGACAAGACAACCATGCCCATCGGCAGCCAGGGTGGTCCCCAGCCCCCCAGTAACACATGGGCCGCGTTGCCCCCCAAGGATCCAGATACGCAGCCAACGTGCACCAGGCCCTGCCAGCCGAGGGGCTCACCACCCCGGCCCCCCCCCCCCACTGCGGCAGGAATCCGGTCTGGGAGGATCTCCGCTCCGGTTGTAACCAGGCCTGGAACGAGGACTCGGGGAGCAGACGCGGGGAGCGACGTCTCCTGTTTACATTCCGAGTCTGACATTTTCCCGAACCAGTTCTCAGATCCACTAAATGTCCTATGTTGCTAATGTTCCGGCAATTTGCTCTGCGTCTCCTGCACTTTACACTCATTTTTCCGGAAACACTCGGTAAATATCACCGCGCCTGCCGTGCCTGGGGCCCCATGAGAGCCGGTTTCCAGACTGGCGGTGCCGAAGGCGTGGCGGCTTTTCTCGGGAGGTGCCGGGCCCTCCGTCAGCACCCGCGGGCCGGGCCCAGCCCTGGCGCACCCGCCTGAGACCGCCCCAGAGGCCTCCGGGCCGACGGCGCGGTGAACACGGGCGAGAGACGCGGAAAACCACCAGCGTCTGCCTTGCTCCACGGCCACGACCCGCCGGCCACTCCCCTGTCACCGAAGAGCCAACCGCAGCCTCAGTCTATGTCACCTGCGTGTCCCTACTCGGACCCTCTGAGACCTTCCAGCCTTTCCCCCCAGTCCCCAGGAAGGAGCGGCAAAGGGCTCCCATCCCAATGAGAGCATCGGGCCGCGCAGCAGGGATGAGCAGCCACACGGCTGTCCCATCTCTTCCCCCGCTTGGACCTGCTGTGGCTCCCCAGTGCTCTGTCCCCTCCCCCACGGCCGACCGGGCCCACAAGGTCCGATTCCTCCCTCCCCCACCAGGGGACTGTCCCCCAGACCTTGGATGTCCAGTCCTTGCAGCCAGAACTCAGCCTCCTCCAGGGCCGCCCCCCCGTGCCCCCCACGGGTCAGCCCCGGCTTCTCCCCCCGTCACCTCTCACTTCCTCTGCCCCGCTGCCTCTTGCGAAGGCCGGGGGCGTGGCGGGTCCCCGAGGACAAAGGACCAGGCCTCCCTCGTTTCCGCACGAGGGACCCAGCGCCGGCACGCAGTGGGCGTGGGACTTCTTCAGAGGCTCTGCCACGACCAAGCAAGCGTGTCCAGCCGGCCTGGCCTGCCCCTGGGGAGCTCAGGTGCAGGGTCGGGGGGGCACAGCGCAGGGGCGTCCCGGCCCCGCCCTCCGTGCTGGCTGACGGTCAGTGGCCCACTCAGGCTCTCTGGGCCTCAGCCTCCTCGCCCCCTCCGAGGAGGGTGACGCACCTGTCCCCATGGAGTCGACACAACCGAGTTCCAGGCCCGCGGAGAAACCGGAAGACGGTGCCGGAACTTTCCAGCGTGGGAGGTGTGTGCTGGGAAGCGGGGAGAGGAGCCTGCCGCCCCATGACCCCCGGGCCCGGGGGCCTCCACTGTTGGGGAGCGGTCACTTCCGACGGCCTCTCCCACCGTCGGGGCCCGAGGGGGAACCAGGCTGCATCCCAGGGCCTCCTCCGGGCGGCGGAGGGCGTGGGCAGCTGGGAGCAAAGGGTCTGCGGGGTTCCCCCGCAACTGGCCTCCCTCACTTCGAAGCGGAGAAACCGAGGCCCTGAGAGCTCGCAGCCGAGGTGGCCAGTGCGAGCCGGTTTCTCGGCGGGGGAGAGCTGACCCAGGCAGGAGTGGGGGCGCCCACAGGAACGCAAGGAGGCTTTTGGGGGGAGGATTTAGGGGGAGGGGTTGCCTGTTAGGCGAGCAAGGACTTCTAGGAGGAATTTCCCCATTTGCCTCCACGGTCCAGGTGGACATGCCTTTCGCGCCGGCCATCCCGTGTCTGAGAAGGCGCACCTGGGAGCGGTAGGGGGCTCAGGAGGGACGGGGTGTGCGCGGGGGGGGGGGGTCCCCGCAGGTTCTCCCTCCTTTTCACCCGTGGTCAGAGCCTGCTGTTTGAAATGTGGCTTTTTTTTTAAGGAAACTCACTAAGTGCCTAAAGGAGGCTGAGCCAGCCGCTGTGAGAGACCACCCCAAGGACAAAGAATGCATCTCAGAAGGCCGTGCTTTGGGGGCGGGGCCGGGGCCGGGACCGGGGCGGGGCCTCCGAGGGGCTACAGGCTGCAGGGGCTGGATCCTCCCCGACACAGAAGGCTCCTCGGAGCACGGGGTCTCCTCCGCGCTCCCCCAGGGGCTCAGGGCCCGGGGAAGAAGACGGGAACCCCTGGAGGACCCGCCCCAGGCGCCCCCGGAACCTCCTGCAGTGCGTTTGCCGCTCCCCGCCCCTTCCACCCGCCCGCAGGCTGCGGACTCCCTGCCCCTGCCCCAAGTGGCCATCCCGAGCAGGTCTGGCCGGCCGGCCGTGCTCCGCGGGGTGTGGAGAGGGGCCTCAGCGGGGCCCTCTGTCCCCTGGTCGGTCAGACCTGGGCCTCACAGCTCACGCCTTAGCGCCTCTGCCGCGGCGCCGCCCCAGAACGTCCCGTCTGGCCCGAGTTCAGCCAAGTGCGAGTTTTTAGCCAAGACTCAGACATCCCACGATCTCATGAGGCCACTCTGTGTGTTGCAGGGCTTTCCCCCCCTTTAAGATCTTCCATAAAAGACGGCAATGCTCGCTCAGACCTTGAGGTCTAGAAACCTCACTCCCTTTATTTTCTGCCAGTGGGGTGTGCTTGGCACCAGGGTGCACTTGGCCAAGGGGGTGGATGGGAGCCGCGGTCACAGGGGACAGGCACCCAGGCCTTGCAGGCTCCTGCCAGGTCCCCCTCGCGCCTGGAAACACTTGATTCTACTCGAACCTGAGGATTTCGGTTTGAAGGCCCGGGAGCCCCGCCCAGCTCCCTCTGGCACAACTGGGTCCAAGCTCCTGCACAAGCCCCTCCCCGCACCCCTCCCGGGCCCAGACCACCAGAAGGGACTCTCCTCTTCCTCCTCCGTCTGGCCCCCCACAGAGAGCGGGCTTGGGAATTAGGAGGGCCCAGAGCCCCAGGCCCTGTGGAAGGGAGCCCAGGGCGTGGGGCTCCTCCAGGCCTCGCTCCCTGCTGCCCCCTGGTGCCCACACCCACACTCCTGCTTCCGGCCTGCCAGACAAGGCCTGACTGGGGGCTTGGCTGGGGAGGGAGGGGCAGGTGGGGCAGGTGGGGCAGGTGGGGCAGGAGGCTGCCCAAGTGGGTCCCGAAAGGCCAGGACGTAAGTAGAGGGAAAGAAATGGAACCCTCAGCTGTGCTTGAAGACAAAAAGGACCCGGGGTTGACGGACAGGCGCAGGGTAAGCAGTTCACCCCCTGCACCCCAGGACAGGTCAGAATAGGGAGGAGCTTCTCCGCACACCCTGCACGCTCCCTACACGTGCACACCCCTGCACACCCTCAGCAACCCCCCTGCACACTGCACACCTTATACACACACTCACGGCCCCACACTCCCCTGCAACACCCCCACAATACCCCCCCGACACCCCCACGACACACTCTCCAGCCACACTCCACACCCACGCTTTCCTGGGCGCGCACAACCCACACGTTCCACGGCCCACACCCACCCACGCATCACACACGCACCCTGAGACTGTCCCTGCAACGTCCTTCCTCCCTCCCTCGAGCCCCCTTGCCGCCAGGGTGCAGGTGACGTGTCAGGTGGGAGACCCAGGGCTTGCACGCCCTCCCCCTCCCAGCACCCACCACGGGTGGGAGGGGCGGGGTCCCCGGCAGGGCCCTGCGGGGAGGTCCGAGGAGAGGACGGGACCGTGGAGGAGGAAGAGGCTGCCCCTGCAGTATTTCCATCTCCTGCACGGGCCCACCCCCCACCCCTGCCCTGCCACGTCTCTTCCCCAGAGTGGTGGGGGCTCGGCCCAGGACAAGGGTTGGTATAACCACAGGGCCCGACCTGTGAAACAGCTTTCCATGAAAGCTATTTCTGGGAGACTGTTCCCCTCCCCCGACTCCAGGGTACTGATTCCAGGCAGCTGAGGCCCCCTAGCCCCCTGCTGGCCCCCACAACCGGAAATCGCCAGCGTCTCAGAAGGAGGGGCAGGGCCCACAGCTGGGGGGGGGGGACCGGGGCAGCCTTGCCTTAGACAGGCTGTTTGTTTATTATTTACTGCCACCTGCTGGTCGACCTTGGCTACTGCGCCCCATACGAGCACAAAATGGTCAACGTTTCTAAAGGCTCCAAGGGAGATGATGAGGGGACTCCGGATTGTTCCAATTGGCCGCACCCTGCAATTCTTGGGGGGGGGGGGTAAGCCGCCGGCCCTGGCTGGCCTCCGGCCGCTTGCGCCAGACAAGCCCGGTTTCCAGGGTCTCCAGGGCTGCCAGGCACAAGATGGCACAGACGTGTCTCCTAAGACTTCTTCAGCTTCCAGAAGTCCGTATTCTAACATCTTTATGGCTTCACAGTAACGTTTAAAATTGCTCGGCAGGCAATGGAGCCAGGAAGCAACTTTCGGGAAGCTGGATTTTTTTTTTTAAAGTCTAGGAAAGTACATGAGCCCCGGGGGGTCTTCCCAATGAGGAGCGGATTCGTGGGCTCACCCCCCTCCGGAGCGGCTCCCCCGTCCACCCCCCTCCCCACCCAGGCGGAGGGAGGGCCAAGCCGGGGCCGAGGTGCCCACGCACCCTCTCCTGTCGCCCCTGCCGGGCAGGGCCCCCCAGCCACAGACGCCTGGCTCCGTCTCTCCAGGGGAGTTTCAGATAGAA